AGATTGTAAATTGTAATTGTAAATTGTAGATTGTAATTGTAGATTGTTATTGTAGATTGTAATTGTAAATTGTAATTGTAGAATTGAAATTGTAAATTGTTATTGTATAATTGTAATTGTATTGTTTTGCAAGTACTTGTCAAAGTTACAGTCAATACAAAATGTGTTTCCATGGAAACTAATGTAAAAGAATACTATACCTAAATATTCTCTTCCACAAATACTAATTTAAGTATTTTTTAATGTTCTACTTTTAAGATTAAATCGTTCCGTAAAGAGTGGTTGCGTTCCGGACGATTTGAAAATGGCGCCTCGACGGCAGCGCCGGAAGCCATCTGGTTTCGAGGCTTCATCGCTTGCCAGTCCGTGGATGTGAACCTTTGTTTTGTACAGAAGAATGGCTGCCATCTTTAGTTTTCGATGGATGTTTTCCGAAGGGATCGCGAATTCTCGTATTTATCGTGGTATTTAATAACGTAGTAATATCCGAAACAGTGAAGTAACGTCGTCCGCGATGTAAAGAGTGTTTTCTCGTTCGTTATCCGAGCTGCCCTGGTGTCAGTTCCGTTGAAAAATGCTTGTGTTTACATCCAAGTTTAAAGTGAGCCTCTGTATTCCTGTCATATTAAGGTAAGCAATGAATTTTTATCGGTCTCGATTCCGTGAAACGTTCGAGGAACCGCGTACGTCCCGTCGAACGATAGAAATTCGATCGGAGCACCGTAAAATACGCGTTTCTAACGATACATTCTGTTCGTATTATGAATCGTTTTCTGACGTTCAAACGATCCGCTACGACAATCTTTTTCGACAACTTGTCATCTGAAATCGTCTGAAATCTCTAAATCGTGAGTTATTCGACGATTTTCCTGACGTTCGTCCCGCAATATGACTTTGTGCCATATTTTACTTAACCAAAAAAAAAAAAAAATTGGGAAAAAATCGTTCTCTTAATAATTCAGAAAATATTCGATTTCGTCGGCGTACGCGAGTGGATCCGGATTATCCGACGTTTTCCTTGTTGTTGTTGACTTTTTGCAAAAGGCAACGAACGTTTGAAAGATAGATATCTGTTAGTTGCAATTTTCGTTTCTGAATGATGGCAACAATGGCTGGGAAAATGGCGAGCGACTACAGGTCAACCACATCGTACACATACAACTTTAGATGTTAAACTAGTTGCCACTTCCATGGAATGTTTAAACAGTTTTTTTTTCTCCCCATTGATCTCCTATTTTGCTAGCTACTCTTATCACTTGTTTCGTTAGTCGACTCCAAAACGAGCCTGTCAGACTTTTTGCAACAGAATTTTTGCTGCACTTTTCATTTTATTCGTGTATATTTGATGTTCGAATATGAATCTTACCTGCGAGTGGTGTTATTGTCAGTGGCGGAGAAGTAATCGTTTGAGTTCCGAAGTTATAACCTGTTACTGCTTCGCTTTAATGTTTTATAGTAATTTAAAGAGTAGTGTTAAGTGTATCGTCCAACACAGAGGTGTACTGCCTGTATTATCGCAGTACCTTGTATCGTTAAGAGCAGTTATAGCCGTTCTTTATCAGCCAGTTGCGTGTCGGGCATATAATTTGATGATATTTTTTATTCAAACAACAGTAGTACTATTAGAATGGTTTTTCGATTAGTATTTATGTAACATTTCGTAATTCTTATAACCAAGGGACCATTGAATGTTATCTCGATGACAGATAACACAGTATTGTCTGAGCGAAATGCCTATTAATACTAATCATTGAAGTGCCGAAGTAGAAAATGTGTAAAACCTCGTATGCTATAAATAAGCACCTTGACAGAGAAACTTATCCTCGTTCTTGGAAAGCTTCCTCAAAGATACTATCACAGTGTCCTTAATGATTAAATAACTAGACTCGCGATTAGGACACTTTGTCTAACATATAATTTAACAAGACTGTAGATGACATAGGTAGATGTATCGATGCAGAATACCTCTGACTCCGCTTTGAATGTTTATCTACAGAATCATGACTACCTTTTCGCAATATTGTGAGGTGTCTGGGAGATATGCGAAGCATCTTTGCCGATAGACTTACAAAGCAAGCATCTAGAGGTACGGAGAGCTTAAACTGTGGATGTTTTTAACCTATTGAGAAAAGTGGAATTGGAAAGCATTGGGGAATAGGAAAATCTGTCCAGGCGGCGCTGGTTTATTTCCCTGAACGGCCATATTGCCTCTTTCTCTCCATCTCCCCTCCCCTTTCTTTCCTCGACCCCCCTCGTCCTCTTTTTTCTTGATCCTTTCGCGATCCCTTCCAATCCTACTCGTGTCTCTCCTATTTTCTCTTGCCACCCTCCTCCTCACGCTCCTCTTTCCTGTCATGCTAAATTCTCCTCTGCATCTCTTGCACCTTTGAATAACTTGCTGCATCCTAGAAATTCCAAATTTATCGATTTCCGCGCTTGCTACCCCTATTTATTTTTCTTTTTCTGATCTTAAAGTATCTGTATGTAAGTAAGTTCTGCATGTCATACATACAGAAGTAGAATAATTAAAATTAATTTCTGTGGGCTAGTATATCAATCAGTATAGGATGTCATCGATATACACAATGAAGTAATATAGTATAATAAATTAATAATATATACTATATTTAAGTCTATATCGATACATCAGTGTACTATTTGACTTCTGAATAAGTTGATAGATCTTTGTCATTGATATACACAATGAAGTAATATAATATAATGAATTAATAATATATACTATATACTATATTTAGGTCTATGTCGATACATTAATGTATTATTTGACTTCAAAATAAGTTGAATATTAATTTTACAATTTTTCCAGCGGTTTATGTTTGCTGGATCTACTTCCAAATGAAGTTCGACTATAGTGCTCGTTGCAAAGTCAAATCTGGGTATTTGTAGTGGGGCACGGATACAGATATGATGGTTGTGGGTGGTTGGTGGCAACCAAAGGCGTCGCCACGAATTTCCTGGCGTCACAAATATCAATCGATCGCGGACACCTCAGACAACGATTAAATTCTCAAATAAATACACATATAGGTATATGTTGTATCAAATATTAAATTTGCAATGTTAGGTTCGGTTAGATTGCATTTCCTGTAACGATTCAATTTTTAAACAAATATTTGTGATATCAAATATCTTATTTTTAAGGTTAGGTCTGGGTTAGGTTGCATTTTTTGTAACGATTCAATTTTTAAACAAATATTTATAACATCAAATATCATATTTGTAAGGTTAGGTCTGGGTTAGGTTGCATTTTTTGTTACGATTCAATTTTTAAACAAATATTTATGATATCAAATATCATATTTTTAAGGTTAGGTTGCATTTTCTGCAACGATTCAATTTTTAAACAAATATTTATAACATCAAGTATCATATATCAAGTATCATTATAAAGTTAGATCTGGGTTAGGTTGAATTTCGCGCACTAATTAAATTGTTAAACAAGCATTTGTAATATGAAATGTGAAACATTTAAAAAAATTTTATTATATACCAATATTATATATCGGGATTTTTCTGTTCCATCTAGTTACTTTCTCATATTGTATCCTTGGGGAATTGTGACGTAAGAAGGATTGCAAATCTCTTGTATGAGAATTATTGTTCGATAGTTTGAAATTTGGTCGACGGTACGCCTTTGGTTGGTAGCATTTGTGAGGTGAAATCGTATCGACCGCAGGGGAAGTGACGGGCACGCGCGACATACACAGTTGATTTACAGGGACCAATAAGAAAACGGTCCGAGGGCCCTCAATTTTTCGCGAGATATCGAACTAGCATAGATAATCTCGATCGAATCTTGCCTATATTCATTTCAATTTCTCCACGGCCGCCATGTTGCTTTCTCTCTCAATAACTCTGGACAAAATTAGTTTATATGCAAACTAATAGAAAGAAAGTATCATTATTAATAATAATTCTTGGATATTTACTTCTCTCTTTACTTGGATATAAACTTCTCATTCGAATTAATTTTATTGTAAAGTGTTTTTCAAAAATCCTCCATTACAATTTCTTCGATAAAAACGAACCTAGTTCCAACAAATATTTCGAAATACTTCTCTCTTTGTCGATACGAAAATTATTAATCCCATATTTCTCCGACCTCCAAATAAACATTTTTTTCGAAATTCGCATATTTGATCGAATATCGTCGAAAAGTGGGTCACGCGGTGCACTCACTTTCCCATTGTTCCCTCGTTTTATCGGCCCGGCAGGTAAACGACCGAAATGCTTCTCGGTGGCCGGTGATTCTGTAACGCCCTCTACCATTGGTCAGCCCTACCGACGTCACCGCGAAAGGTCCAATAGGGTGAGGTCAGTACGTACGCGCGAGATGCATCTCGGCCTCGTAAAGCGCCGTTTCCCGTCGTATCTTTCGATGTATGTCATCGCTGATATGTCATCGTGTTATCGCTTAATCGACACCTCGCTTTGTCGATAACGATCGTCGCGATTGATTACACAAATGAGTGGACACTTGAACGAATAACCGGTTGCATAAGTGTGCGCGCGTTGTCACGGTTGGCATTTCTCCTTTCAATGAAAGAAGAGATGCGGTCGGTGCATGCAACGCTCACTGAGCGGCTTAGTCAGCTTGCAAAATTTTTCGTTTTCGAACACGGCGATCGCTTA